CTGTATCATATCGCGAAATCCATCCAGGATGACAGAGGTTGGTAAATAAAAGATCGTTGATCCCACTTAAAAGTTAATTGTTTAATCGATTCGGAATTCGAGTGGCGATCGTCTTTATTAATTACCCACATAAGTGTTTATGTTTTCTGATTAATGTTCCAATTACATGGAGAATTGGATTTGTGCAATCATACATGTATGTATACCAATTAAAGATAAAACTTCCGAACATTCATAAAAAGGTGCTTTTAAAAACAGGAGATTAAAGAAAGCACAAAAAAGTAAACATTGCTATCTGGCAAATGTAAACATCACGGTGTGTTATTAATAGAGGCCCTAACTATGGGATCATATGTTAGGAGTACACTGCACATGCACGGTGCACCATGGCCCGATGTAAGGCTGCCTGTTAACTCACTACTAGTCGCGAGTAATTCCTCAGACACGATGGATAAAATTATAGAACCGGCTTTATGATCTATCTGACAACGTTGTAATAAAAAAATGGAATGAATATGCAGGTTTAATAGTCCTGCCTCTTTCTCGACAAATGTTAAACGATTTATTTCTCCGTCATTTTGCATAAACTCTGTTCCTAACGACGTTTTAATCGTTGTGCCCTTATAAGATTAATTGATCTCAGGCAGTGCATCTTTTAATTGGCCCGCATAGGCGTTGCGCTTAGATAAATCTAAGACGTCATAAAGATGATAATTTGTAAGCAAAGTACTGCAAACATTTAACTACGTACGTGTTCCAAAAATAATCAGTTAACATTTTGTATTGGTCCAAATATTTACTAAATTCATTTGATCAAAGTGATCGTGAGATCATTTCACGATCTAAGAAAGTTTGTGTACAATAAAAATTAAGGTACCGAAACGTGAATAAGAAATCTGCATAATTTATAAGTCACAGGAATACATAATCCTTTTCTTATTGTGAGAATTATGCGAAGTATTGTTGCGTTATAATGGAGTGTTTTGTAGTCGCACCGTGAACAGTGGTCCTTATACCGCGGCCGGACGGGGGCGGCCGCGGACCGACAGCCGGACTTTATTTTTTTACTTTTTACGCTGTTACCTGTTCCCTGAACGGGTATCGTATCGACTGGCCCGCTGCCCGCTGGTTACCTTAACAAGTGCACCCGCCAGAGGTGCCCTATCTTCGGATAACAGTGTTTTATTGTACCACTATTCTTCATATAAAATTTGGATTGCTTGTTTATTTGACGTGTTGTAATTATAGATATGGTAATTGGCCTGTAGCACCAGTCTATAATAATGCTTTTATAAAACCGACTTCAGCGCCCACTTTTTTGAAGTCTGAATTATACAAAACCACCTCCTAGTGTGACAAACTCTTTTCTGACAAACTGCATCAAAATCAATTCAGTTAATCCCGCACAAACATACATACATGCATACAGGTCAAACTGAGAACCTTTTTTTTTGATGTCGATTAGAAAACTATTTAGTATTGTGTAGTAAAATGAAACTTCAATTAAACAATTAATAATTAAAAATTGAGAGGAAGAACCAAAATTTTCGAGATATAATTCTAAGCTCGGTAATAAATTGCACTAAAGTGACGTATGTAGTTTGCAAATACACAAACATTCGGGTGTTTCGCGATTGTCCCACGGTCATTCGCACGTCTTATCACAGGATGCACCCGTCTCATTTACTGAAACTGTCATTCGGAACTAAAGTATCCTTTTAGCGTTATTTTTACACCAGATTGAACGAACTTCTACAACGAATCAAATTATTTTAATAGACAACCAAGTAAATCTGTAATGCCTAGGGTCTAGTCTCTAAAAATAACCATTGCTTCCATCTAGTCATGCCCAAATATTGATGCAAGACAATAACAATGAAATTCAATGAATTTTAGTTAGGCATCCTAATATAAAATTAAGATCTGGACAGCTACTATCAATTGACGAGTGGACGAACAGACTCTCAACTCAAAGTAGCCTAAATGACTTCAATTTGTTTGCTAGCCGAGTTCGTAATAAAATTCCACTTTGAATTAATAAAACAATAGCTTCTATAATATTGTATACCGCAAAAATACGTTCTTACTACTTATGACTTATAGTTTTGTATATTGCTGGACATAACTCATGTGATTTGAATGACACACGTTGAATGTGTGTCACTGAAATACCCAGAATACTTGTAAATTCAATAAGTAAATAATAACAATACCTACAAACATCAATTAAATACAGAGAAACGCTTAAGAAATTGAGTATTTATTGCAGTGTTTAGCCAAATAAATATCGACATTGAAATGTTTTGAATGCATATCGCAAAAACGCATTTAATATTCAATTAGTACGAATTTAGAATGATTGTGTTTTCAACCTCTGAGTTTACAATAATACCTACTTCAGAAAATTGCAATTGTACTTAAAGTTAAGAACGGCCTGTAGAAAATATCTTTAGATTAAGAAGACATTATTGTTGTAATTACAAGCGGATAACTGCACACTAAACATTCATAACCGCTTGATAACAAAGGTGGATAACTTTCTGAAGAGAGATAACTATCACTAAGATGAAAGATATTAAGATATAAGATACACACCTAGATATTCTAAATTATATCCCGGAGATTACTATGAGCTCATACTAGATAGCTTGGTCTGGAAAGATAATGCGTTTTTAGCCATTGTGGGCACGAAAGGCATCTTAGTTTCCAAATCGTATGGCAACCAATGGCTGTAGCAAGATCTTACTAACTCTAATGCAACCCGACTTCCAGCTAAGAGCTGGCTCATAATAGAATAAATTGTTATTATAGTTACAATAATTAAATACATACAATAATAATAAACACAATGTTCTATCTAAGGTATCAGACTACGCTAATTTGAGGTTATCGAAACAAATAAATAATATCGTTACCATTACAACATATTTTGATAAATGGCGCCTGAAACATTAGGTACATAGATCTATTTTTTAATAATAATAATTGTAAACATTACTTGACCTTACGATAAAGATGCTCTATTTAAAATTGTACGCATTTTTTCTAGAACACGTAAATTTTTAATGTTGTTAACGCTGTATTTAATTGGGTGATAAACTAAAATAGAGCTAAAGGGGGTCGTGTACAACAATTATATTCTTTATGGAAGCGATGTCAATAGTTCAAGACAAATATTAGTTTATTGACTTACATTGGCGTAACAATAGGATAATAAGAACCCAAACTTGGTAGGGATGCAAGAACAGAAAGGGATTGTCCTAAATGCACCTCGTGAATTTGAATGAGACCCAATACAATGAATGAAAACAATAGTGTGGATAAGGAGTAAGCTTGTACAATCTATACCTTTCAAGACGTTTGACTTGTCTGTTGTATAAACAGATCGAAAGCCACTGTGGGCTCTTTGCGTCCTCGAAAACCTAAAATAATAATAAAAAATAAGTTATCGCCTAGTCATGCGTGCTCAATAAATACAAAATTGTAACATCAACATAGACGTAAATTGTTGTGCACCCCTACGCATAGAGTTATTGGACTCTTCTTTTTTGTTAACACCTTTTGTACGTATAATTTGACACCGGGAGCAAGTAAAAAACTAGTAGACATTACTTTTTGACAGGGGATATTTAATGAAGTTGTAACTTTTTTTACTTTCGTCCGGCGTTTCTCACGATAATACCTTTGTAGGAGCACGTCCCAAACGGTCTCAATCAATTATGTTAACTGTGATAATTTTGTTTTTCTTTTACTTTTTTCTTTGTGGACGGGAGAGGTTTTGTATGGTCGACAAACAAATTATACGGCACTTACACGCTTATTATTGGTCCGCGTTGGAACGTTTTAATGGAATTATGACATATTTTAGGTGATAGCTCGGCTGGACTGTTAATTGGACACTCGGGAACGACTCGGTTTAACGTTGGAACCGGACTCATCCAGAGTTTACGACTGCGTTTTTTATTGAGATTCAATCGTGATGATGAGATACGATCACTTTTGAAGTTCATGTTGTATACCAGCTATTATATTTAAGCACTTACTGATTTTATTTTACTATGGGATTAACAACCTATTCGTATTGGATTGGACAAGATTTAGGATATCAGAAATCAGAGATGGCTTGAAAATATTAACACGGGTTTGAGTGTACAAAGCAGTTTATGTGTGACTAACCTACTTCTATGGCCTTTAACTTGTTATATCTACAAAAACGTAAGGAAAAAATCCAAATGGAATTCCCAATTTATTTATCTATTCACGTCACCTGTTTGGACAATCTGAAATAAAACGGGAGCTTCTGACGAACGGAGCAACAGTGTGCTTACAGTGTTCACGTTAGAATTTCATAAAATTCGCATAAAAGGTATCTTAAGAAAGTCCTAAATCATCTTACGAGTAACATTTTTAGATACCTTCCTGCATGTTATATTTCCTGTAACGGTGTATTTTTGTTTTGCTTAAATCTGGACTGGCACTTTGGACTGGTAAAATATGTTTTAAGAAGCTAAACTACCTGCCAGAGGAGTCTTCGCAACCTTTATACAATTCTTCTTCCGTGGCACAACCAACTGGTTATAAATATGAGCCCCCAGTGTGATTTGAAATTAGTTGAGTTACCTCGTAAAACAGTTTGAAGTGAGGGAGAACCATGCTTCGGCACGAATGGGCTGGCTCGACCGGAGTGATACCACGGCCTCACAGAAAACCGACGTGAAACAACGCTTGCGTTGTGGTTCGTCGTGTGAGTGAGGTTACCGGAGGCCCAATTACCTCCCTCCCTAGTCCCCGTCTCCCGAATCCCCCAATCCTCTACATCCTCAAATTCCCAATTCTCAAAAGGCCGGTAACGCACTTGTAACGCCTTGGTGTTTCAAGTGTCCATGGGCGGCGCCGATTGCTTACCATCAGGTGATCCGTCTGCTCGTTTACCGGCTTATGCTATAAAAAAAACAGTTACGTGAAGTAAGTTAATTTAATTCCTTCTTGTGGTGTGTAGTATGTGGCGATCGGCTTCGATGGGCGCGCGGCTGTGCGCCGGGCTGGCGCTGGCGATGTCGCTGGCACTCGGCGCCGGTCGCCGCGACTACAAGGACCCGGAGGCACGCCACCACTCCGACCTCTCGCTCTGGATAGACGAGCGACAAGTTCGGATGTTCAGTGGTAAGTTAGTAATTATTTTTGCAAAACATTGCTCCATAGGTAGGGCTTGGGCTTTATAATTTCGACATTGAAGTCGAAAATACAATGAAAAAAGATTCCTGATAGATTAAGATTGACTACTGGCCAGTACTAGATTTATTTTGCTCCAATACTTAAATCCCTCGACAGTCCCCTGTTCTATTTTCTTTTGATAATTTGTCCTAAATTACATTCTATATGGATAGGTACCTATTAATTAGCACTTGACGATAATGAATAATGACGTATAAAGTGAATAGGTAATAAAGGTAATTAAACTGAATGAGCATGATCTCATTTATTACTCACATGAATGAACAACAGAAAAAGTAATAAATAGTTGGTTATCCTCCATTTGACATGAGAATGTGAATTAAATAATTACCAAGTTCAAATAAAAACTGTCTAAAGGTCGATCGACACTTTGGTAATTTACACCTCAAACTATGACGTAAATAGCTAAACTAATATTAAGATTATAATCCCAATAATAATCCTTAAACGACGCGAAAGTTTATAAATATAGATGTGTGTTTGTTGTTCAATCACGCCGAAACGACTGAACGAATCCGACTGAAATTTAGCACGGGGATAGATTATTGTCCGGATACTGAAAGGACTGTCTACATATTTTCCAATATTATCTACGATTCTACCGGATGCATTTTCGTCTAGTCAAGTTGACAGTTTGCTAAATCTAGAACGTTTCTTGTATGAACAACTTTTCTGTTTCTTTTCAGGCATATCAATGCAAGTATTCGCCATAATAAACGGGCACGTATCCCCATACGTGTTGGACCCGAACTTCTCAAACAAACTACCAGTGATACCATCTGAAGTGGGCTACGTCAACTTTACATGGAAATCCAAAAGCGGTACTATTACGACTTTGATATTTTGACGTCATCGGACCTGACTATACTGAAACCACCTGTCCTGTCCATAAAGACCCGCGGACGAGTGCCTAAAACTTCTAAAGGTAATTTTCTTTTTCATTTTTCTCGGATACCGAAATGGGTACCGGACGCTAACTGATCTCCTTTAGGTACTTCGTTCTCCAAAGAGAAGGCGGAATAAATATTCCTTGTCTGTCTGTAATATCATTGAATTTAAAAGTTCAACTCAATAATTGTTGTCACACTTATTTTTATCTGTTACTAAAAATAAGCCAGGAAATGTGCAGTTTATCTTTTTAGCCACACCAGTACAAACGAGCCGTTCCTTAAATAAGCAAATATTTAATAACCATGTGTTTTACAGAATTCAGTATAATTTTGCCATGTGTGGGCAATAATAGCGGTGTGGCCACATTTGAAATAGGCCTTGTGCTAAAAAATGGCCGCGGTTTGCCGCTAAAAGGCACCCCACTTAGATTACACCTAAAGAAGGAATGCGCACAGAGAGGTGTGTATTTAGAAAGGACAGGTATTGTATCGCCAACGCATTTTTAACACTTACACGCCTGTGTTTTTGTAGCTGTCTCTAATACCGCACGTGTTTCATACTAATTCATTAACTACAAATAAATTATTACCCCTATTGAAAGACTGAACAATGAGCAACTACAAAAACACAGACGTAACGCTTACTACCTTGATTTAAAATAACAGTTTAATTTTTATTATTCTTCTACAAATACTGCCAAAGATCTATTGTATCCCGAAAGCTTATTAATTCAATTTCTCATGCTTAGCGTTGAAAAAACGAAGTATAGCGAAGTTGAGTACGAGAAACGAAGCACTAAACATTGCATTTCATCTATTTCGAGCTCATATTGTTATGCTTACGCTACTAATAATACATTTATGGGTAGTTGGTAAGCGAGCGCTATACAACCACTATTACGGTTCACAGTAAAATACGTCACGTCACCGTTTGTGTCCATTTCACTGGGAACAATACAGCGATTGACATTTTATTGGTGTTTTGTAGTCGAGATTTGTGCAAAAAAACAATCGATAATTTAAACGAATCGTTTAATTTATAATAATAATTCTCTTGAATTATGGTCTTTGTTACTGGTTACCTGATCGATTTTTTATTGAAATGTTGGCATTGTAATCGCTGTAATGTCCGTCTCTCAAGAGTACTAATGTAGGCTGTATTTGTGACGCCTGCGATGTGCGCCAGGCCTAATTAACCGAATGCATTATTTTCCGGGATGTCGCCGAGTGCGCTGACTGGCTGAATACGGTGCCTCTGCTCACGGCATTTGCGTTTTAGGTTCGTATCATGCTTGCTTTCTAACTAATATTACTTACATTTTTTTAATAATATTTTAGTACTTAGTGCCATTATAAATCATTTCTGACATTTTATGCTTTTGTTTTATTTCATGCTTTCATTAATTACAACTAAACTACCAATACTTTTTTAGCATGGGCTAAACGTGTATTAGTCCAAGATCCTCGTAATAGTAGCTTTCTTTACCTCAACTAAATCAAAGAGAAAGCTATGTTTAGTTAAAGTTCTTAAATAACTAATTTAGAAGAGAATATTTGAAATAATTTTTTAGGCCTAAAAAACGATAAATTAAAATCAACCCTTCAACAGGGCCGGATCCGGAGTGCGACAAAAAATGTGCGAATCAGGGGTGGTGCAATAACGAGAAGATATGTCAATGTCCTGAAGGATACATGGGGCAGGACTGTAGGACGGCGCTGTGTTACCCGCAGTGCATGAACGGAGGGAACTGCACCGCGCCCGGAGTCTGCTCCTGTCCACCAGGGTACCAGGGACGGAATTGTGAAGGAGGTTGGTATAAAAAGAAAAAGGTTTTAATTGGACAATATTAGCGTTTGGTTTGTCAAATCCCTCCAATAGAATTTTGATTGTATTCTTTTGTAGATAAGGTTAAAAATCTATTTTGATTGTTTATGTGAGATGCTACAGAATTGTGAAGTAGGTTAGTGTAAAAAAGTCACAGACTGGTCTAGGTGTATGGTCTATTTCGCATTTCGATTTGGAATCGTTACTTTATTCGTTTGTGATATAGGGTTGAAAACTATTTTGGGTGGCCTGAAAAATGAACGTCATGCACTTTTAGTTGTTGTTTTAAATAAACTATTTAAGAAATTAGAATACTGGGTTTCTGCTAAGTGATGTAGTATTTGCGTTAACTTTACAGTTGTTATAAGTTTAGGAAAGGCTCTTAAAGTTTTAATATTTTAAGGTTATTAGTATAATTAAGAAAAGTTTATGTAATATAATTTATTAATGTAGGTAACAAAAATATATAACGGTACATTTTTGCAATACTAAACAACCAAACAATACATAACCTGTATTTATGGAAATAATACTTTTCGTAACAGCAGGTAACATCGGTTCATTTAGATTATTATTATTAATTATTGTAAAACAAACTATTAACCCTTATTAACATTGATTTTTCTTTGAGAGGTAACTTATCGGTTTTCATTTTATACGTTAGAATGTATTGCAAACTATTGTATAAAATTGTACACTTCATTCTTTTGCCAATAGTATATTCGTATTATATAGTAGCTTTAAAAGAGAGTCTTATATTCGAAACAGGATTGATTTGAATTTCGAGGTATATATTTTAAAATGATATTCTGTTCATTAGTCCTTACTTCTTTCATTTTTAGTCGAAAATTATTAGTCGGCAAAATAATTACGGAATTCACTTTATGTTATTAAAAAGTTCGTTAAGTTTGAACCACTAACTTGTATTACTATAAACTAATTAACTACCCGCTATGAGCAAATACAGAACGGCTCCTGTCTACAAAAATCGTGAACACGACATGGTCTTGCAAACAGTCTGTAGAATTTGTCATATCATTTAAGACCAACTTTCTTTCTATCTGGTGACTAAACATAAAGTTTTCGCTTGATTTCTATGTAAAAAAATCAGTAAAACCACCAACAAATTCATATCAACAGACTATAATTTATGACCTTATGACCATTACTTTGCAACAAAACTACTTAGTGAGTTCAATTTTACTCACTTGCGTATTTTCGGACAGTATCACGATTTGACGTAAACAAGAGCCACTCCACCGCCGCCATCTTTGAATGTCAAACCTCTTTAGTCTAAACCTTTTTCGAAATAGCAATGGCGCATTTACATCCAGCCTTTATAACTTCAGTCATGGCTTTGTAGAAAGGTGCTTGTTCAGCTCCATGGTCGATCCCTGTGTCATGGTGTTCCTGCTCCTCATCACGGAACTTGGTGATAGTCTGCAAGATCTCCTTGTCGATGTTAGGGTCCTCCATTAACGTTCGGAGCTGGTCGTTATAATGGTCTACTATCACGGTTTCTACGGCAACTGTGCAAGCCATCGCCGCTTCTTTGCCTAAGAGCGCTGAGCCTGTAATTGATAAATATTAAGTTGAGCATTTTGGATAGAAACAATCAGATTAAGGCTTGGGTAGTAATTTTAAATATAAGTAATAGAATTAAATGAATACGTTAAATCCTTACCAGCGCCTAACACGAAGCCAGCGACATTCCATATAGGTGTAAGCGCCGTGGGTCGGACTCTGTACTCATTGATTAGCTCCTCAAACTTGGCGCGATGCTTCTTCTCCTGGTCCCACATGTGTTGTATGAGTGGACCTTCCGCGGTGCTACCGAGCACTGCCATCTGACCAGCGTAGATACGGTCCGCGCCCAGCTCGCCTGCATGGTCTACTCGAATTATCTGGTCTAACTGAAAAAGGATGAAAATTCATTTAGGTTTAGTCATGAAAGAAGTATGCGAGGTTTTTTATACATTACCTATGCATAAAAAACATCGTTTGTGTTGTTTTCTTAGGGTTCTCAACCAGTTAGACATTGTCGCGTGTGTATAACTTATAAAAAGGACTCTGGTCGAGTTCAAAATAAGTCGGACATCCACATGAATAAATCCCTTCACACATAATCTTTCGGCATGCATTGCTGTATATTTTACTGTAGGTATAATACATTAGTAAGCTTAACTTTCGTATTGAGTAACTTGATTGGCTTACTTACATGAGGATTTTTCTTCCAATATGGTCGTGCGCTGGCTGACACAGTACTGTGCGCACAGCGAATCTGTTGTAGTACGGATTTACGCAGCATCTTGTAGTATTTCTGAAATAAAAAAATGTAAAACATGTTAATAGTATATTGTCTTTTACAGGTATATGCGCCCAAAAATGTTTAAATGGCGGCAAATGTATACAGAAGGACACCTGCGAATGTCCGAAGGGGTACTATGGATTACGTTGTGAATTCTGTGAGTAAAAAGAATCTAAACAACTTTGCCCTGTTACTTTTTTTTTATATTTGATGTGGCGACGTTTGACCACTATCTCGCCTGGTGGTAAGCGATGATGCGGTCTACGATGGAGCACGTCGTCCCATAAGCAACCTATTCACTCGGGCCTTGAAGACTCCCAGGTTATAACCCTTCAGGAAATACAGACTCTGGCAAAGAATTCCACTCTTTAGCAGTACGCACAAGGAAGCTTGAAGCGAAGCGCTTCGTGCGTGTGGGCGGAACATCTACCATGAATCTGTGACGCTTCGCGGATTGTCTTGTGGTACGATGATGGAAAGGACTAGGGGGAATCAAGTTGTGCAATTCCCCCGCACACTCACCGAAATGTATCCGGTAGAAGACCGAAAGGCTTGCAACCTTACGCCTGTGTGCGAGGCTTTGAAGCCGAGCCTTCACAAGCGCATCACTGCGATGAGCCTCTTGGCACGCCTCTCAATGTGCTCTAACGCTTCCAGCTGATATTTGGCCGAGCCGTCCCAAAGATTTTTCAAGTCTTATCAAAAATATCTTAGAGATTTTTTTATTATTTCATCAATAAAAACTGTGCCTTCCTAAATAATAAATAAGGCATATTTTTTCAGCAAAATGCGTGATCCCGTGCTTAAACGGAGGTCGTTGTAAAGGGGTGAACAAATGTCGGTGTCCTGTGGGACTGGGCGGTAACCACTGCGAGGTGGGGCGGCGGGTGGGGGACTGCTCGTGCAGGGGGGAGTCTTGTGCGGGCCAGCACACGTGTCGACACGGCCGCTGTGTGGCCGGCGCTTGTGTCTGCGAGCCAGGGTGGAGGGGGCGCTGGTGTCATAGGTCCACAGGTTGGATTTGTATTTGGTTATGAATATTACTGTATGATTGCTAACCAACAAGTTTAATGAATATGCTAATGAGTCCTACAAACGACAATGAGCTAGCATTCACATGACATACTGTAATCTTATATTGTAAGAAATATATCTTCTATTAAATTGCCAGACACCGAGCGGTCACCGGTGACCGCAACCTATTGTTCTTTAATTGTGTCTATAATGACGGTACTCAACGAGTTAATAAACAACAACCAGTAGCTATGTATATTATATATTTCTAAATAATAATAGCTACTTTATATCCTTGTTCAATATTTGGAACAGAAATAATATGTTTTATTTTTACAGGATCATCAGAAGAGTCCGGTGAATACAAGAGGCCACGATGAAACGCAAACAGTTGACGAAACTACTTAATAATGTGATTTTTATTAATTTTATAAAAAATACTTTATACATATTTTGTAACATTGATAAATTAGTCATTTAGATGATAAGTTCTACGCCACTTAGACTTTGTAATTAGATTATTTTACGAAATAATATAAAATATTAGACATACAATTTGGAAACTTGTTTTATTTATTTTTTTACTGTTTTATCTATATCTTTGAGTTATTCAGATATTATGTATCTTGCTATAAGAGAAAACTAACTAGAAGAAGGACCCTAGAACACTAGAACTAACTAGAACCTCTTTGGTCAACTTATCCACATCATTATCTGCCTTTGTTTTTCCTCAGAAATTTCCCCATTTATTTATAGAGGTATGAGTCACTGAGTCTTGCCACATTTAGATGAATGTTAGCATCTTATGTGGAGCAACTTGTCGGTACTTTATATGCAGCAACAGTATTATTCCTATTTTAGGAAAAATCTTATTAGGTGATGTAAATGAGTTTTCTCATAATAAGGCTAAGTTTTACAGATAGAAGTGAACCTTAATGACAATCAAGTTAAAAGATTAATGATAAATAAGTTCAGTACTTAGTGGATGTAAATAGACTGGTAAATATTGATGAAATATTTATTCATATGAGAAATTCAATTTATAAAATAATAGATTGCATATATTAGATAAATTGTTTATATAGGTTATGTGCTTGAAGTTGTACTCCGGTGTAGAATAAAAAAACTACAAGTAGGTTACAACTCTTTGAATGAATAACACAATTATTTCTATAGCTATAGTAATTATTGTAAGTTATTCATTTAGTTACTGCTAAAGGGTGATATTTGTAAGGTGTGTAATCATTATGTTGTACCGATTTTACCAAAGAGTTTTCATTCAGAAGTTTTAATACTTTTAATTTTAAGAAAAATCCTACTGTCACTTAACCTCAATTAATCTAAATATCAACAACAAGAACACTAAGAAGATATATTGAAAATGCCTTACCTTAATATTTAAACAGTTTTATAGTAATATGTTACGCAATCTTCAAATAATAAGAAAATAACAAACTGAACACGCGAAATCACAAAATTTGTTTACAATCATGAAACGTCAAATTCAGTTACTGAAAATTTCACTAGATGTCACTACCGTATGACGTGAAATGATCAATTTCTAAAATAAACTAGGGATTTTTCCTGAACATCTATCAACATAGAGCGTCAGAATAAATAAATAGTAATATTTGGCTGCCAAATTTGGTGAGTATCTTTCACAAAATAAGCTTTTATTTACTTACAAAGCTATGAATCCATTCCCCCCTCAGGCAGAGGGGCGATTTCCCTTTCCATGCGAAAACCACACCGCGCAGACTCGTACAAAATGGCGACCCCTAGATACGAAGTTTATACGGTCCACATACCGCGCTTACCGATCGATACTAATGGAGGACTCGAATTTTTCGGGGACTCTTGTGCACTCCGTAAATTTTGTGAATTCAGTGTCTGGACGAGTGCAAATGTTTTAAAAAGTGTTGTTTTGAACGGGTTACATCACAGCAAGTTTGCAAGACGTCTAATTGGATTGCAAAATGTGCTTCAAATCACGCAGGTGCGTACGCAGCCGTAGTCTCTCCATTCTGTCTGAGCCTGCTCGAACGCGCGGCTCCCCTTCATGATGGCCATTCATTTTGGCTTATCCTTTACGCCGCCGCAAAGAGCTTGCGTCATGTCATGCGTCTTCGAAACTGACCCGTCGCGGGGCATCATGCACCGTATAAACAAAACATCAAACAAAATGCGTCATTGGTGTATGCGACTGCATTTATTCGCGCGTAAAAGGCATAAAATTGTAAGTTGCAGTTAAATAACATGCACCTGAAAGTAAAGATGGATTCCTGAAATCATAAATTGGTGCATTTGTTGACATTAATCCTTGCAATTGGGACTTGTAATAGAAATTTTGTCTAGTTGGACAGTCGGATTATGTGGGAAGCTCAAGTATTGATTTTTCTTAGCTAGGTGTCTACACAATGGAATAATAGATTTGTACTATGCTGATGTATCCAAGTACTCTGAGAAAGATTTTAAAGGCTTTGGTTCCTTAAGGTTTCAAGTTTAGGTAATCGTTATTCATTGAAGTTTTGTTGCAAACAGTTCCAATAAGAGTGTAGAATTTCTTTTTAAAGAGATTTCATAGAAGTGTCCAAAATCAATAGTTTGAGAATCTATGCATAGAGCTATATCTTGTCTAGACTTAGACAAAGTTAGCATTAGTACTAAGGTCATGATTATGAAATATAGGACAGATTTCCTTTATAATTATTCATAGGAATTATCAAAATACTGAATGAGATTTTTTCATAAGGGGAGCCATTGAACTCTTATTGATTTTTCTGACCAAGCTCTAGCTAGTTATAATTTGTGAATATACCTTATTACATTTAAATTATTTTATTCACACTACTTTTCCAAATGAAATATGCCAATATTTCTCAGAAATACTTGAAGAAATAATGAAATGTTCAGTCTATGAATGACTAAGGTGGCATTAGAGATATTTTAGACACAAACTGAGAACTAAATCAGTATATTTTATACTGAATACAATTTTAATAACACTTAAAATACTTATACATAATAAACTATTAAGAATACACATAGTTTATCTCTAACACATTTTATGCTATGTGTATTTTATTTAGGTCACATATAAATGCTATGTGAATCCTTCTTGGTATGTTTAGGCAAGTCTTTATTTAAACATTGGTATGTATTGTAATAGGGTAGTATTTAACTTCTAAAATAAAACAAGCTGAGTATTGATCTTGTTAGAGACAGTAACAAGGCCAAGGTTTCTACTTACTCAACAGAGACTCTTCAGACATGTATAAATCTAATAACCACATACATAATATAGCATCACTGTTTTTGTGGGATAGACAGAGGTGAATAATGTAATAACCATTTTTCATCTGTTAGGTTTAACAGTCCAATGTAATAGACGGTCAGCCTAGTTCTAAGTGTCTAGGTTTTTTTCAAAGGTGTATTTTCTGCTCTGATCATGGAACAGAAAAATCAGTTTTTGTGTTTTTTCTGTTCCCTGGTTCTGACATAATCATTTCTCAGCTATTACTGACATGCTTATTACACAGTAGGTACTTATGTGAACTTCTCCAAGACAGATGGGTTCTACAATATATTAAAAACTTTGATTTTAGTTGTGCTAATTTAATTATTTAGTCTTATGTACCTTTTTATTTTTTTCATGGCATTATTTTGTATTGTATCTTTCGTGAGACATACTAAATAAATTATTATGTTTTCGGCTTACTCACATAATAATTTGATGAGGAACTCTACTAGTTTCAAGCCATGCTAGAGGCTCATATTCATTATTTTGTCCTGTAAACAGATGTGAGGTTTGTTCTTCAGAGATTTTATTTTTTATGCGGACAGATTTTAGATTATAGGATTTTTAATATTCTTTAATATGTAATTAAAAACATTTTGATTTAAAATGTTCATTATTTAGACATAATTATAATTATGTAGATTAAATAATCTATCTAAATTTTCTATTGTATTGTTAGTAATAGTAAACAAATAGTTTGAAAAACATTATAATCTAAAATAATCACTAACATGTAGGTCATAAAGCTCATCGGTTGAAGAGAAGAGATCAAGAGTGGCCGTAGTGGGTGGCGACTTGAGGTGCACTACCCAATGGTCCTGGAGTTTAGCCGGCGGGACGAACGGGACACAGACTACACCATGAACTCCGCCGTCAGCACAGAATCCATGGATATGGAGGGGGAGGTGAGACTACCTTTGCTTTTTAAAACATTGAAATGAAACAGATGCTTTCAAATTTAATTTATTCTGAGTTTTAAATTTCAAATTGCAAAAGAAGCTAACTTTTGTACACTTTCCATCATTCTAGTCTATGAGCACATAATGACCAAATTTTTAATTTTTTTTAACCAAGTGGTCATATTTTATCCAATGTTCTTGAACAACTTTGACCCATAATTTTACAAAAGAGTTGACCTTGTTAAAAACGGCGTAATTTCACAATATATCTAAACCTTCATAACGTTTGTGAACTTAAGGAGAAGTTCATTCAAACTACAACAAAAGTATGTCGCAACTTGTTTACCTCCTTGTTGTATAATATTTGAACTTGGTAGTAGAAATATATGGTTGTATGAATAATTCGAAATTCGCTGAACGTAAATGTACCACACACAGGTTTCCCAGAATGCCGTATTTCGTTTTATTTGTCGCTCCTTTCTGAGAATATTGAAAGGTATATTGATATCAATGACCCGCAATAAACCTGAAAAGTCGATGCTTTCTAGTTAGTCGATTTTGCTCGACGTAGGGTCGAGCAAAATACGATTCTCTCAATCATATCACGAGTTTTTTTATGTCATCTGAATTTCCAAATTGAGGACTATACTACCACTATCATTTTAATAACTATAAGGGTGTGTATATTTCGCAGGACATGTCACAAGTTGACGGTTGCGGGTTGAGTGGGGCTTCGGACGACGACGACGAGTGCGCGTCCTCCCCCACTGGCTCCACGTACGATGACAGCGCTGATCTCATCAAGAATGCCATGAGCGATGAAGTTACCAAGCAACTTGCTGCAGCTGGTGAGCTATAGTTAAATCTTCTTTTCTTTCTTTCCCTTAGGCTGTAGTAGTGTAGTTTTTTTTTGTGTAATCGAGTCAGGACTTACTTAAATTTAAATAAAAAATTCCAAGATTTCGGATCTCAAAGAACTTCCTATTGAAAAGTAGTAGCTGAACTTTTATATATGCTAATAAGTTTCCCTGTGTCTATATCTACTAAAAGAGAAGGTAAGTCTTAGATCTAGCTGCCATAGATACAAACACCTAGGTATGACAGGTACCGTTTACGGAAGTATGTAGATTAAAACATACAACAACAAGTAGGTAGACAGTGATTCGACCCTTAGCGGGTTGTGGAAATTGGGGAAGGCAAATACACAATCAAATAACATATGGAATGTCAAGTAGTATCCAGTTACTACGCAAATATTATGAGGAAATCACTTAATAGCTAGCATTTAGTTTGCGACGTTTTCTCAGTCAACATTGAATGATTCCAACTTTTCAATATATTGAACCTATAATAGATAATGACACACTCAATAATCAGGTTGGATATTCATAAAGTTTCCCAATTTTTGAAGGTAATTCTTAAAACCCAAAACAACTAAGAAGTGACAATATTGAAACTCTATAACATAAATAGGAAATGATCATGATGTATTTAAAATGTTAGATGATTATTGAATTTGGCTAGATGGAATCGTCTCAATATTCTGCAGCTGCAAATTGCTTGTAACCCACATTCCAAGATTTACAAATGTCTGCAACAACAGGTCCGGTGGGCATGGCTGCCGCAGCCGCTATAGCGTCGTCTAAGAAACGCAAGCGGCCGCACTCCTTCGAGACCAACCCGTCCGTCAGGAAGCGACATCAGAATAGACTACTTAGAAAACTCAGAGTAAGTCACTCACAAAATCTTCAATAATGTTTAGTTTAATTCTGTGGTTATTCGAATTAATGCTAAATTTTAGTAATTTGCATCTAAAAAGGTAATATTTAAAAGGTTTATGCGCACTTCCTATTTCGATGATGCCCGACCAGTTTCGAACGACATCGGGGCCCTTAACTATAACAGGACTCACGACAAAACACTGCCATCTTTAATTTAAAGTTTCACGGTAGTTACACTTTACGATGTTACACAGCAAACAATAGAAGAGTTCGCGACTCGCGTGGGCCAACAAGCCGTGGTACTAGTGGCGACCCCTGGCAAGCCAAATACCTCATACCGTGTGTTTGGGGCGAAGCCTCTAGAGGACGTTGTACGCAACCTGCGCTGCATGATCATGGAGGAACTGGAGAACGCACTCGCACAACAGGTAAGTCGGTTTCTACAGACTCCTTCAATTAATAAGCTTCTGTGACGTTTTAAGACCCTGGTCTATACATCAATGGTTACTCACGAATTTCATAGTTAGCAAATGTGAAAATTTCTAGCTTGTTACATTCAAAGCAGTTATGAAGACCATAAGAATCTTTAAATTAATTTAGTTGTAAGACTGATCTAAAGACTGAATAAAGACGATCGGCTTTGCTATAAGCATTACGTCACTCCTAAATTTTGTAGTTAATTTACTACTCAATATTTTTATCGTTTTCCTCCCTAATATTGTAGTTACTACAGCTTTGAAGAAATATTTAAAATGTTCATTTATATGGAAATATTTTTTACATAATTATTTCATTGTTTTATATGATTTTGCATTATAAATAAGAAAGGGGAAGTTCTAATGTTATAATTTTACTTTAATTCGTTTACTGACTTGTTAGTGTTTGTGTCTACTTACATCAAAGTCTGCTCTAATAACATGATCTTTTTTGGCTTTAGTGAGTTTGTCATGGCTTACACTGTACTGTACACTAGAAATACAATATTATTTTATGTGACCGTTATTTAGATTAGTAGCATTTCTTACAAATATTTTATAATTTTTTCTTTTAAAAATTCACTGAAGTTATTTTTATTTTTAACTTACTAACTTTCTTTTCTCTGTTTTCGTCACTCATTTAGAATATCGCTCAGAGTGCCTAGCACGAATAACTATCGCATTCGTAACGTAATAGTATCGAGCGCGTTCGGCGCTCTGATTGGCCGGCTCAAGTGAATCAACCAATCAGAACGCTTAACTCGCTCGATACTGTTACGATACGATTGCGATAGTTATTCGTGCTTGGCCCTCAGAATAAAAAAAGTAAAACGTTACTTTACTAAGACTAAAATTATCTGTGATAGTCTAAATGAGCCCTTTCGAACATACACGCTGACTTCGAATAAAATTAAATTATTAAAACAGTTGTACGGAATGACATAAATGTCTCTTGTACAACTAGACACTCAATCATAGTATTCAAGTTGTCCTCCCGAAGTGAGCGTGTATGTAGTAGTTAGATGTGTATGTGTACGTATGAGTATGAGCTATATAACGAGCGTCAGTTCGGGCTGGGCGACGGGCCGCAGGCGCCGGCGCCGCCGCAGGAGGATCCCTCGCTGTTCGAGCTGCCGCCGCTCATCATCGACGGCATCCCCACGCCCGTCGAGAAGATGACGCAGGCACAGCTCCGCGCATTCATACCGCTCATGCTCAAGTACTCCATGGGTAAGTGCAAAATATACTAACGCCCAATACTGTAAGACTACTCAATTCTACGATGCACTTAAATATCGTGCCATCTCTGTCATTTTGACAAAATTGAGTAATGTTTAAGTTGGTCATTATTCTACCTCTTGCAGAGAATCGTAACTCTCTTTTATTGTCATGTAATAAAGGTTTTAGTTGAAACAGCCACAACTACACACTATGACTTCAATGCTATTATGATACTTACACTTATGAGTGGCTTATGGCACTTTTCACTGTCTTTGACTGAAGTTAATTCAGCTATAATTTACCAGCAATAACTATTCTTCAAGTATTCAATACCTATGTAATCTTCAGTGCGAGGGAAACCGGGTTGGGGCCGCGAGTCCACGCGACCTCCGTGGTGGCCCAAGGACCTTCCCTGGGCCAACGTCAGAATGGACGCTCGTACTGAGGACGAGAAACAAAAGGTGATATAAAATTGTAATTTTGAACTACATTACGTACTTATCGATAAATAAATGCTTGAATCTTTGAGATGCGTCATACATTTAGGTTGATTCATAGCCATTGGGTGATGCAATGGGAATTTTGACATCAAATTAATAAATTAACTTATTTTTTTCCCGATAGTCGTATTTGTGATAATTTATTCAATGGATATGTCAGTAAATGTGTTCGTTAACCTATTCTTAAACACAATTGGCTTTTGTGAGTTATCTAATAAATTCTCTATATAACTTCTTATATGTATATATGTCCTTTCTATTTAGTAATCTAATGCCTATGGGGAAGACATATGTTCAGCACTAGACATCTTGTGGCTAATATGATGATGTATCTACTAATTACCTATATACTTCTTTCAGATGTCGTGGACTCACGCGCTTCGTCAGATCGTAATCAACTGCTACAAGTACCACGGGCGAGAGGACTTGTTGCCCGCCTTTACAGAGGACGACGAGAAGGGACCTCCCACGCAACCCGTTAGTAACTTCCACTTACGTTTATTTACGTACCATGATTGTAAAATACGTGTCTTTAAATCCTCCATTACTTATTTTAAATTTTATGCTCTCAGTATGAAATATAATGGTATATAAAGGCTGGTTAATTGCCTTATAGCATTCTCCAGCCAACCTTATCAATGTCATGATTTTATCTGGAACCATAAGACTGTTTGGCTGGTCGCAAATACGATTGCCGAACAAGAAATATCAGATTCCAGTTCCGGGTTCCCAGTCAGGAATAGTAACCTGGTGGATTACTCTTGAATCCAATTGCGATCGATCGACATTGGTATTGCGAAATTTCGTACTCTTGAGTTGCAACACTAGCGCCCATTGCATCCGTATTGCGTGGATATTGAATGAACTAAATGGTTTTGAGTTTGGCTTTATATCTCGTACTCTAAATGCTATAGTAACAGCTACGATAGAGGTTGTATAGTTTTGATATTGAATAATTATTGAGATTTTATTCGATTGAAATTGCATTGACATTGAGATTGGTTTCAAGAGTAAGCACCCTGGATTGTGGATAGTGGGTCTTGGATCTTTGTCTATTACTTAAAAGATAAGCCATGAAGTTATAGCATCAATAGATTTAGTTGATTACTTGTAAATGCGATTTGAAAAGATTTATTGGTATCTTCCAATAAACACAAACAGTACAATAAAGAATAATCTTAGCAATCGTAAATAGCATAATTAACTCGTCGAGTACCGGTTTTACAGACACAATTAAAGAACAATAGGTCGCGGTCACCGGTGACCGCTTGGTATTTGACAGTTTAAACATTATCGTTTGCGTCATTAGATTATTCTACATCAAGTAACAACTACATAATACGTCAGGTCTGCCGTACTTATTTTCGTCAAGGCTTTGTATTAGCTTAGCACGGTAATTAAGCTAATCTACTTAGGTTCTAAATCATCTTAAATGTTACGTAACATATGGAAAAAAGACTCTTGTTTCGTCGAGTGCCGTAAGCGGGACTGCCACGTGGCCACCTGCTACTACCTACCTACTAAAACTCTAAGAAATAAGTACAGTGGTGTTTTTATCGAAAAGAAATGATGTTATATGACATACTTAATTTAAAACATTTAGGCTTTGTATTTTACTTCAATGAATTAGTTAGAGATTAGTATTTAATACCCACACAAAAATGGCTCAGTTTCTAAATGTTTTTATTCCATTAGGTTAATTAGGAACAGCTAACTAACACCAACAACTATTATTTTCCCTAAATAAATCTTGTACCTACGTCACATTCAAGTCGGCTAACAATAAGTTACGCCCACACTGGAAGTAGGCTGTTACGTTACGTCATCCGATATCTATTCCGATTTAGACCAGATAATTATAGAAAAGCCGAAAATAGATTAAAGGTTAAATAAAATAGCCTTTCGGTGCTATTGTTAGTAAAACATTGAAGGACTGAAGACTCGAAATAACACAACTTGTACTTTATTAAACCTTTCTAAAGTGTCTAAATTACATTTACTGTTCATTTACGCTAACTCACATGGAATGCTGCCTGGATTTGGTAACCTCTTTCATTTTTTATACATATTAACAACTTTGTCACACAAAACCTTTGGGATACTATACCTCCTTGATCCATGGTCGATGGTATAGATATCGGCTTGTATGCCGACCGCGGCCAGTAACTCGTCGTCTAGTTCTACATCCGCAGCACGTAACAGCCAGCAGCAACAAGCAGTGCTGACGTCACAACAAGTCTGCATCGATCAAATGACCCTCGCTGATGTTGATGTACGGACTAAGCTAATAAAGTTGCTATTTTTGTGTTTGTAAAAGAATTTGTGAAGATGTTATTGGCTAAAAGACGTCGATAATTATTAATTTAGCATTTCTCTAATTTAAATTTTCATTAATGCATGGGTTTAAATTTAAATATAAAGCTGTATATAGCGACATGACAAAAAACAATGTTTGCAGTACAATGGTAACTTGTGTGTTTTCAAGGTTTTGTGTGTATCTCTCATCAGAACTTGCATGCAAACATCAATGAGTGTGTTTTCTTCCCCATGTAACAACGACCGACGATCGGGAACCTACACCAGTTTTTTTAATTTATTTTATTTTGTTTGTAAATCTCAGATGTCACAATACGCGCCTGCTGTTCTACAAACAATCACGAATCCGGACGGAACTGTATCTCTCATCCAAGTCGACCCCAGCAATTCCATCATCACATTACCTGACGGCACTACTGCGCAAGTTGTAAGTTTTACGATTGTAGTGTACACAACTTTTATTGATTGTTTTGTCGTTATGACTAGATCAACTCAGGCATGGTTCAGCCGCAAAAATAGGAAAAGGAAAAGTTCGATGCTAGCAACGCACATCCAACTCTTTTTCTGTTGTGGGTATCCATTACCGGCGCCGTTTACTTATCATCACGTGCTTATCACAGAAAAACCAATAGCTGTGGCAGGCAAATGTTGAAATTGGGCCACTCATTCAATATAAAAATTTCACTACATATAAAGTTTATTACAAAGGACAATGAAATGGCTGAAGTTGGCTCTAGTTAACCCATCACTGACTACCAATCTTGTAGATTCTCGAGCTAAAACACGTTTATTAATAGATTCACAGCGGCGAGGGTGGAGCGGGTATCCAGGCACTAGACGGAGATGGCGCCGTGGCCGTGGACCTCAACGCAGTGGCCGAGGCCACGCTCAACCACGACGGACAGATCATACTCACCGGGGAGGACGGACATGGTACGTATCACCCTACACAACTTATACTATATGCCTCATCCGACTACTAGTCAAATTAATAAATTTAAAGAATGAGAGAATGTTCTCTGATAATTGATGTCGAAATGTAAAATGACTTGATGCTAAGCTTTTGACGCTATAGCTAGTTATTTATCTAGCTTGCATTGCAATTCTATACAATATTCAACAAATAACGTTCTCCTTTTGTTTAAAGTTATATTTGACGTAGCTTGAATGAATATCTTAAGTACTCGCACGAAGCAAGTATATGCTTGCTTTTATTATTTGAAGATATTAGTCGTCGTAACGTTGCAGGGTACCCAATCTCAGTGTCGGGAGTGATCACAGTGCCAGTGTCTGCGTCAGTGTACCAGTCGATGGTGGCGTCCATGCAGCAACAAGATGGCGGCGTGTGCGTGGCGCCGCTCGTACAGGTGCGGCCCAAGCCTGAACCGCGCGACGTCGACGACACGCTGCATGTCGCATAGCGTGCATACCCCGCCCTCACTACTCATTGTGTTCATTCACTTGACTATGTATTCGAATGACTGCCTCTTTGCTAGAGTAATCAAGATAATATTGTGAAGTCTGAAGTGCTCAGTATGGTAGTTACGTCGCCTTATAATAAGTACATGAAATGTTACATAATATGCGCATCTTTGTCCACCTTTTTGAGGAAAACGGAGTTGTTTACACATGACATTGGTCAAAGTCAAGTTAGTGAATATGTGAGTGATACATTTTTGTTTGCCAAACCGCCTAGATTTGTTTGCTACTTTAGTTTCTCTCAAGCTATGACATTATTTACTTCACCTCCAAGTACAGGCAATAGTTTGAGTATTCAAGTTTATGTATGCATTTCTTTAGCTTTATTCACGAATAGATAAAAGCGCGTTTGTCTGCAAACTATATTTGTTGGTGCTAGTTTGTGGAAAAATAAGTTTTGTTACCACAATGGCAAGCCAACTGAAATAACAGTACTGATATGACCTTAAAATATTTATAAAAATAAAATACGCCTCAAATTGGCGTTATTTACTTCTAAGGTACTGATTTTAAAGTATATAATACCTAAGTTATTAATTTATTGAAATAAAACGTCATAATATTCGTCCAATAGTGCAATATAACGAAATGCTGCCAAAATAAATATTTACCCAAAGAAACAATAGTATAAGAATAAAATATAATAATAAATTATTTACAATTTTAATATTATGCATGTAGGAACTTAGTTCGAGAATGCGTGCCATTAGAGTGTTGATAAATAAAATGTCCTAGAGACTTGTGATATTTTTGTATATAGAGGATAAACAATATGTTTGTCGATCTCGGAAGTGCTTAAATAAGCATTTAATGTTTGTATTTTAGTCATTATTTTTTAATTAGAGGCTCCCCTAGCAAAGTCAATTCAATTTAAGCTTTGAAAAGCTTACGATATTGTGAATAAGTAAGTTATATCTTAAACTTTTATTTGATGTCATAGGCATTAAGTAATAAAATAGATATTTCTACTGCATAGTAATGTTACTTTTCATAATAATTATGACAAAACATAATACTGCCTAAAGTGGTCCTGACAGAAAAAATGCGAAATTAAGTACATAATAAATAGTTCCTTTACACTAAAAGTGGAAGATTTATTCACAATTATTAGGACAAATAATAAATTTTAATTAAGTATTAATGCTGAAAATTTCTTTATAAATAGATAATTTTATTTGTAATTATGATGGATGTTTAGTTAAATTCGCTTGTCCGTATAGATACTTACGTTTCTAGTATTATAGTGTAAACCTTGCTTTATATGTAGTTTATTATGAACAGTGATTTTTTTATTTTGGAAACTGGCAGGTGTAATAATGTCTGTTGTTACCAAAGTGTAATTTAGTGAGCTAGTTGCCAAACATGCATGATTGTTTGTTTACTCGTTTTAATTTTAAAGGGTACTGCGACTTAATATTTAAAGTTGCTAGAGTTCTAGTAATGAAAATAATGTTAAAAATATTTAATGTTTTATCTGTAACTTTCGTGAGACATACTAAATAAATTATTATGTTTTTGGCTTGACTAGGTTAGCAGCGCGACAGTCGCCGCGTCGCGGGTCGTAAAATGCTGCTCATGATTATGAGCCTCTAGCATGGCTTGAAACTAGTCGAGTTCCTCGTCAAATTATTACTCTTTTATCGCTTAGATTATAATAATCTATATTTAGATACGATTTTAGTGCAACTATAGTAACTTCAAATATGAAAATGCTCAGTATCCTTCTCGAATAAAATCGAGTATAGCATAATTATTTATTTATTTGCCTTATAAATTGGTCGGTAAATGCATTTTTCATAAATTCCAAATTTTATTGTTACCAAAGTATTAAGCCTCATTTTATTTCACTCGAGGTCAGACATTTACCGACTTTCAAGATGGCCTAGTATTAATTTATTTACTCTGCACTTTGTGCTTGTTTTATTCCACATTATGTTTTGTTGCCTCCAACCCAGTTGTTATGCTGATCTTGTCAAAATATTCTTATTTTTTTTATATTTTATGTATATGTTGGAGTAATTGTGTGCTATGCTAGTGAAATTTTGTAATAGTAAAAATTTGAAATTCACGATTCAATAATAATGTTCGAAACAAATTGTGAAGAGTTATTAAAAGTATATTTATTTTATTATACAATTTGCCATTATAATATTTTAATATGTGCCAAAGATACGCGATTACATTACAATACAGAGTTCTTTATGTAAGAATGTATGAGTATTACTCAGACCTTGTTTTCAAAGTTAAAGTGTTAATCTTTGAAGTTGCATAATACATTTCAGGGTAATTTATTAAAGTCTGTATATTACAATGTTACAAATAGTACAATGTCCTATGCTTTGTTCATGTACATTTTGTTTAAAATGTTTTATTTTTAGTTGAAGCTTGTTATGTTTTGTGTAGTATTGTTATTGTAGTCTAGTGCAACACCGACACATGCATTATTTATTAGCACATCCCCAATCCCTGAAAGGCCGAATTTGTAACTCTGCTCGTGCTACGGGTATGCATGGACGGCGCCGATTGCTTACATCAGGTGGCTCGTCTGATCGTTTGCCGGCCTATGTAATTTTGACAATCAGTGAACAATTTATGTTCTTCCATTCTACTGTATCAAGTGTCGTTTTATCTCACAAACACCATTTTCTTTCATATCATTTCTCAGGTCCTTTCATTCTATTCAGTATTTGTTTTGTCACAAGATTTTCATCCCTTTTCAGTTGCTCCATTTTAAATAAAGGCAAATTGCCTTTTATTTATTAGCAATATATTGTTTGTACATTTATGCTGCCATATTTTCAGTATTATCGTGTCTCAGTGTTGCATTAGAGTGAATGATTTTATCCTTAGTTGACGTGTGCGAGTGCCGCCGCAATAAATACGTGAATGTATCGTCTTGTTTTATTTGCACGAATCGAAGCTTTATTCACTGTGTGTAGCATGACAGGTGTGTATTTTTTCTTTTATTTATTACGCTTTGTTCAGCTCACGTCTATTTGATATGCTAAATTGAACTTTATTGTGTTTGTGGTTAAAGTAGTTTTTTAAGTGGTTTTTCATTGACGTGCGCTTGACAGTTCTCATTATATTGGAAGGCAAACATCCGCCATCCAAGGTGGTGTGGTGTTAGGCTCTCAATGTGCGGTTTTATGATTATTTTGTTATATTGCTGCTAGATCAATCCCTATCTTTCAGTTGTCGGTAGATTTAACTACAGACGCTAGCCCGTCAATCTACTCCAATTTGTCTCATCGGAATTTTAGCTTTATTTCAGAACAATAAAGTGGAAAGTCTAGTAAAGAAATTTCAAAAAACAGTTTGTTTATTATACTGGCAGTTTTATATTATTGGTATATACTTTGTAAAGTTAATTTTAAGAACTAATGTATAACTGACGTTAGATGGATCAGAACGGTGAGGGTTTGGAGACGATCTCCATGGGCGGCGGCGTCACGCAGGTGATGCTGCAAGGCGGAGAGGGCGCGCAGGTCTTACAGGTGCTCAGTCTCAAGGACGCTACTGTACTCACCAAGGCCATGGTAAGTTATTAGTTAAATAACAATCCTTCGTAATAAATTCGAAGTATTACGTTAGTCGTTTAGTCTTGTCTATTACAATATTCTGTATCTGTATAATGGCGAAATCGATATAACATTGGTATTTCTACGCCTTTAGCTTATCTATTAAATAATCTTAATTATTTGTCGGCTACACCGGTCTGCCGTGTAGTACTGGAATACTAGAGCACATTGCCCTACAATTATATCGCTCACGTTATCGTTCTGATAACTGATAAGCTATAACTACATCAGAGGATTTGAATAACCCTATCCTATATGCCTATAATTTGTTTGTTACAGCAAGTAAAAGCGGAACGTGACGCTGTAGTAACAGATTCCTAGCTGCTAACTCTGGTGGCGAGCTCGCCGCCGCCTGACGGAGCCTCCGACTGCCCCGAACTGATGAACGACGTGACTTAACCCCCGCGACATGTACGCACTCTAAACTTCCATACACACACCTATACAGACAACGGACACTTATACACAGCGGCTCGGAAGGCGAGGCCTAGCTACTCTAATTGTTATTCTAAACATAGAGGCATCATCTAGTGTTGCAGTCAAAGTGAATTAATAAAAATAGTTAATTTAACTATAGTGGCCATCGGCATTCGGCGCTACCGCCGCGCAAGTATTCAGCTCGTACTACTCAAACGGAATGTTAGACATGTGCGCGGCGGCCCGGCCGAGACATCCAAGTTACGGCATAGCAATCGAGTCCAGTGATGTCGGAGTGATTTTGAATTTTAGAAATAAATTTACCATTATATTAGACTTAAATTTTGCCATGAAATGGGATTTAATTTATTTAAATTATTTCATCGTAACTTATATTATTTATTGATGTGAAAAGTAAGACTAATTTATTTTTAGAGATGCAAATCTACGTGTGGTGGGGAACAGATTTGTGCAATACATAATTTATACCAGCCGCGTTTATTTTGTATAGAACTCCCGTTGCGATAGTAAAGCAGGTGCAGTAAGTGCACTAGTGCCAGGAGGTTCATGTAATCGTATACATTCCTGTAATATTACAAGCGAGTTTGTTGTGTACATTTGTTGTTTATGTTTAGTTTGCCTTTTGTTTGTTATACACCAATCTATTTATTTAATCTAGTCTAAACCAAGTCAAAGCAACCTATTCTAGTCCGAGTGAATATATTTAAGAACTTTACCAAAACTTTTCTATAACATAAGTTTTGTAAATTAATGTAATTTAACTTGTCCTCTGTAATGTAAATTCGTTTAAAGAAACAATATTATAATTCCTGCGCAGGGTTACTACATAGATGACGACGTTAGTGTTTATCGGTGTTTAAATCTTAGGAATGTAGACTTCCAAATTTGTGAAGTCAGTACGAAAATAAAGGTAGATTAATAGGTAATATTGTCCAACGTTGTACATCAGGTTTCCTTTCAATCAGCCTGCTCATAGGATTCTCAATGTAATTCACATTAAATTTAAATAAGGTTTATAGTCGAGACTATAACGTAAGGTAGAGTTCATAGAAAAGTACAAAAGTGCAAAACTATTATGATGTGCGGAATAATATAGTTGTTTTGTAAAAGACACGAACGAATAGTACTTACCTTATTTAATTATTTAGATTTGTTTTATTTATTTTCCATATTTTATTTTTGTTTTATTTACCAAAGAACGTTTAAGTTTTGTCCTCTAAGATAGCACAATTTTGTTGTTAAGTACAATTTGTGATTGTAAATAATGGTATGACTGTGTGAATATGGCAATCATTAAAGTATTTACGTACATTTCCTTGTTTTCATGTTTTAAACCCTTTCGCTGTTATTCTTACCTTATAAATTGAAATTAGCAAACATCTCCGATATGTAGATTTTACAATATTCTGCGTTTTGCCCTGAAGCGGTAGGCCGAGAAAATAGACTGATACCACTTCTATTTATTCTATTTTTCACGTCATATGACGCACAAAGCAGCTTTTTTATGGCATAAGTCTGCAAACGAGCAGACGAATCACCTATGGAAAGCAATAGACGTCGCACATGGAAACTCTCATCAGTAGAAGAATAAAATTAAAAGTGCGTTTTCGACCTTTTACGAATATGAGTAGGTACCAATTATAGTTACCTTCGTGTACCTAAAGCGATACTTATTACTCTGACTGAATATTTATTTTAGACAAGACATCATTAGGCCGAGTCCTGAGACACTGCGCATCGCGCAAGCGGAATCCGCCGCGTTAAAAACAAGCGCTCGATGTGTTTGAAATGATCCGAACTGCGAGGAAGTTTCATTACAGATTACTCAAAGGCGCCTGATCGATAACATGGCGATACACACTTGAACAATCGATCCATTAGGCTCAGTGAATTACAGATTGTTTTGAATTGTGTATCAATTGTTACTACTCGTAAGAATTCAACATAGAATCCATGACAACATTTTCTAGAGTTTTTAAAACAGTATTCATTCTTAGTAGGTTGTTACATAATGGATCTACAAGTCATATTTTATTTTTTTAATTGTCATTTGTGTTTATACTTAAATTATTAAATCACTACAAAAATAATGAGTTTGTTATGCTATAATTTTTTATTGATAAATATGACATGTATGGACAAGGAATTGTATAAAAGGGGTGGTAGATAACATACAAAATGAAACAACTCTCATAATGTTATATCATATTTGTTCTAATGTTTCAACATTAGACAAGCAGGTCGATTTTTGAATGATGGACCAAGAATACTACTAATTGAAGACACAGCTTCCCACAATTAAAAGTAAATAAAAAGTCGACAACAAAACTATTATACAAATTCTCTACAGCTTATTTTGATATTTAACGGCGACCTTACATGTCGTAAACATTCTCTAAAGCTAGTTCTGGTTTGTCGTAGCCGAGCTCCTCTGGAGTTTCAATGCCAAGCTCTGTTAATGTGGGCTTAATTTCCTGGATGATGTAAGGGTAGATTTCATTGACTTTGTTACCGCACTTATCTTTGCAGGCCTCAATGAACCTAACAGCAAGAGCGTAGTCATTCACTCTCCTGCATGCGTGCAATGCTGCCCTAATGATCTTTGGGTCAGGGACAAGGTCCATACCGCACAAGTCATTCATGCCTTTGCGGATTTCCCACCCGTCAATGTCTTTCCTGTTAAAGAATTGCTCATATCTGGAAAGAAAGAAAAATATTGTTAGTTTTTTATCTTCAGTACATCTTCCCATAGATATTATATTTTTCTAGCAAATTTTAGTAAATTATTCAGAACCTAATTGGGCGATGATCCTATATCAATGACTTACAACAAATAGGAACATTCCAAGTAACATTACCATTCATAAATATTTTATTTATTCATTGTTGATTAATAATGCGAAGCAACAACATTTTACAACATGTAGACTATAATATAGAGAACACTTAGAAAAATATCACAGCAGTTATGATAAGTTATCTTAATCAATATTAATCTAAAACTTAAAATACCAGAGACAGTTTCTCTATAAGATACCAATAGTACTGTGGCCTACATAAAGTTAAAATCAATACTGCAGCTATTCATTGAATCTTATTAGTAAAAGAATTTAGTACAACTTTGTATGTAACAACTGGTCAAAAAAACTAAAACAAACTATTGATTATGAGGTTATCAGTCTAAAAAATGTCCATTTCAAGTCACACCCAAGAAAACTTATTGTGATTAACTTAGCCAGAATTTCGAATAAGTTTTACAATAACATAAATATTGAAATTAACTAAAAATAATAAATCACCGACGAGAATACCACAATTTTCAGTTACATAACGTCAAAATTTCCGACAAGGGTCTAACCTGCAATCGAATTCCTCGTCGGATTCGACGGCACCGCCATGCGACCGCCGCAGGGGTACGGCGCTGATCCTTGCCGCCGGCACCAAGGACTTTCTCAGGACATTAACCAGTGCCCCTGAAGCTGATTTCAACATTTTGATCAGACGTTACACGGGAACTTCAGCAAGGATAACAAATGGCTGCTCAAGCATAGACTAAAAAATTTGAGTGCTAATCGCTGTGTCTGACGTCTCTAGGGATGCGCATATAATTATTGATTTTAGTAGTTTGTCGATGTCATAGACGTTATAGAGTTTCAAAAAGTAATGTCTATTGGAAATTGGGAATAGAATTGTGATTGAATAAAAATATTTAATTCTTTGAAAGTGTAAACCTTGTGTATTTTAAATAATCTTTTTTAAAAATGGCCTTTTTTATTTTCTTAATTTCCACGCTTTTTTCTCTTTATCCGTTTATACTGGGTCAGAAGCGTGAAAAGGACTAAAGTGGAACACTCAGATGAAGAGAAAGCATAGGCCTGAATGCGTTGATTAAATAATTTATTACAATGATTACTATTTTGTTAAGATCACAAGAATATTGTATTGATTCTTGATCTACACAACCGGCCCAGCTGTATCACCAGGTTGAGGCGTTTTGGTTATTTGAAACTGACTGATAGTGGGATACAAAACTTCCTACTATGTAGTCGACGTCTAATGTCCATCTGTTAAGCTTCGAAGGTTGAAGAGTTAGATCACATACAAATATGAGCTAATAGCTCTCACCGAATCTAGCTCCTCTTCACACCTAAATGCGATATTTGATGTTTACAGTTACGTACTTGATAATTAAATAAATTTGCAAAATGTTTGATAATACTTTATTCATAAAGAATTGTGTTGTCAGTTTAACAAAAGAAATATACTGTTCACTATGAAAACAACAAGTAAAAATTTTATTAGTCACTAATCTAGTAATACAAAACAGGCTTACACTTATGATATACACTATTTGATATTACATCTTTATGAATGGTATCAAGGTTGATTATCTATGCAAATTATAAGGCGTTTTGGTCCTTTTACATTTTTCTTCTTCGTTTTTTCTTGTGGGCAGTGATGCTTTCCTGGCCACTGTCTTCTTCTGAACTATCTGAAGAGCTGCTATCACTATCGCTACTGGAAGAACTACTATTAGATGAACTGTCTGAGGCTACACCAGTGCCCTGACTCAAGTCCATGCCACTAGCAATCTTGTACAAATCAGGTTCTTTGGTCTCCAGTACTTTGATCCACTTTTTGGAGAGTTTAGGGCGCCCGCGCACAGTTTTGTGCCAGACCACTGGGAAGTTGGTTCGGCTACAAAAGTTTTGAGTGACAGCCACTGTATCGTCCAAGTTGAGCACAACATGCCACCAGCCTCCAGGTACAAACACTGTCTCACCCGGTTTCTGAAGAATTTCCACCTGAAATAATAAGTGGTGTTATCAATAAAAGTTCACCCTTTGCTAGACATAGACCACAAAAAAAGAAATAAAAATGGATACATACCGGTTTATATTCTTTGGGCCAAGTATCTAGCTGAGTCTTAGGATAAATAAGTTTGAACCATGTGACAGCTTCATCTCTTTGTTTTCCACCCATTGCTCCAGTCACCTTAATCAATTCTCTAGGAGTTTGGGTTGGGAATAAGCACCATCTTTTATGACCAAATACCAAAGCATTCCAGGCACTTGTTCCAAGAGGATCTATATGGATGCCAGTACCAGAACGCTGCGGTCCCATCACAAACCAGCGATATGGTGGCCTCCTTTCCTCACCGCAATATTTAAACAAGTCATCCCTAAAATACAAAGGGACATCATAATCTTCCAAAAGTTTCTTTCTCCTCACATGCTCTCCAAAACTGCTATCAAAAATATAAAGGGGACTGTCATCAGTCGTTGTCCTCATGTACTCTACGTAATACTTCATCTTCATCTTAACACTGTAACCCTCATTGTCTTCCCCGCATTTAAATTTCTGGTTTCTATACTTTTTGGCAAGTCTATCTAAAGTCCATTTATGATTTGCCTTCCAATTTGTCTGTACATTAGTTATAACTACTGGTTTGTATATTTTTTCATATTTCTCTATAAATTCATCTGGAGACACTTCATTTTCGCTTATTCTGTCAACATTGTCATTACACTTGAGGAATTCATCAAAGCTTGTTGCATACTTTAAGGCAGTCCATTGGTACTTGTCTGCTAATTCTGTAATAAAAAGAAAAAAGCTAAGAATAAACAAGTAAGTACCTACTAAGTTGTCACTAGATTGTTAATTTTAAATAAGCTATGACCTTTATACATAGTCCTGTTAATATTACAAGTACAAGACTGATCTTTCAGTCATGTCAGGCACAGTGGCTCTATCTTTTTTAACAGATCAGTAAAATAATATTTCTTTGCAGTTTACAACATGCTACTGGTAAAATGAATATATTTATCAATATGAAGTATTTTTGGACAAAAAGAAAATACTTATTAGGATAACATAAATTTTTCAGCAAAACAGAAAATGACATCATTGAGGTAGTAAAGTAAATGGGTGAAAATAGAAGAAAATTTATTCTCTTACATTATCTCAGTATTTTTGATATAAAAATTACAATTATTTGGAAGCTTTAGTGTTTTGAGAACTTTATTGATTAATTTGTTCAACTATGTTACAAGTGTTATTACAGGAATATTAATCACTAAAGTTATTCTAAAAATGTTGCGATTTTAGCACTTGGTCATTAAGTCGTGATGCTATGTAATTTACCATCAAGGCTACAAGCCCGAATACTGTAAAGATAACTGAATGCCACGCTTTCGAAGATCATTCTAGAATTTGTTGATGAATCCCTTGATAAGTAGTATCCTAAAGGCATATCTAGTTTCCATATATTTACTCTGATAATTGTTAAATCCCGTACAAAACAAATATTTAACTACAAAAATGCTTGTTAACGAAAGTGTGTCAATTAGGCATTATGGTTCGGATACGGTGAACTTACCGGGTCTAGCCTTCCTTTTAACTTCCTTGATACGTTTTTTGGCTTTATGGGACAGCTTGAGTTCACTGTCCATTCTATTTATATTAAAGTATAATTTATTTAAATATTTAATTGCTATGGAACCTAACTTTAGCTATTGAACAGCGTTGAAATTGACAAATTGATTGATTGACAATTTGACAGGCAGCTGGGCGGTGTTGTCTATGTCTCCCTTAATTTTTATTAGTGATGGGTTTCTGTTACTAATTCTTAAAAATGTATTTCTATTTCATTGATTAATCGTTAATGAATAATTATAATTAAACAAATAATACCAAATAAAGATAACATTCAGTGACTGGAACATACATTTACAGTTTACATCATTAATTATAAAGATTTTTTTAAATACAACAAAATTCTTTTATTTTTTATGGCTGGCAATGAAATATTTTCGTTTCGTCGCATTGCCAAACTCACAAAACTGATAATTTTAGAATTTCGCGTTTCTTTTAACCGAAATAATTTGAACATTTCTGGTTTTTGCAGTTTTTATTTACTTTATATCTACATTTACAATTTTCAAATCAATCGCATTCTTTTAAAAACTACGATTTTAAAGTGATTGATTTGACTCTTGTAGTGAAACAAATTTCAAACGTTCCAGTCTGAAGTGTGTAGCTAGCTCGATATAACTGTCAATCTGGGTGTAGAAATTTATTTTGTAATTTTCACCGGTTCTCATGTGTAATTTCTCAATGTGTTAGACTATTTTTGAACAAAGGTTCTTCGAGAAATAATGTTATTTAGTGTATGTGGTGCTTAAATTTGTGCGAAAATGGATGACGGTACAATAAAGATTCAATCCGGAATTAATATCAACATAAAAAGAACAGATGGTAAGTACTATCGTACTAAAATATCTACAATTGATGTGTATTTTCACTTATTTCGTTGGTGGAGAGTTGTTTGTCCGTGGTGCATAATGCTGCGGTCGATGACTTGAGGGTATATTATGATTCATTTTGAAGACTTGAGAGCTGCTTTTCCCTGAAGGCATTGGCACTGAATTGATTTGGAATATCCGTTAGCCAATTACCTGGTACGATAATACTCTTGAAAGTGAAAACAAATGGTTTGCTTGAATCATAACCAATTTCTGTAGTATTGTATCCAATAAGATGGGATTGCACATCTTGGTTTGATATAATTCTAATAGGATTTGTAGAATGAATTAATTCAATCATTAATCTGTCAAACACCAAGCGGTCACCGGTGACCGCGAACTATTGTTCTTTAATTGTGTCTATAAAACTGGTACTCGACGAGTTAAAGCTTCTATTGTCTATTTGCTAGAGGCACAATTATAAATCTCTATCACATTACTTGATCATGAATATGTTTTTCAACAACTGTAAGGAGGCTATTCTCAATTTTTGACTCATAACATTGGGGAAATGTGAAGGCAATACCACATGCATATTACCAAAAATATGACTATTTATATGACTATGAATCATGTTTTGACACATTCTATGACAAAAATATGACTGTACTTCTGTACAAATGCAAACATGTCACTACATGTTTTGGAAAATCTTAAAAACCACCTATTTACCATAACTAAGTTTGCAAATTTAATGATATTGAAATAGCAGCATTAATGTTATTAAAACGAGCAGTAGCATGTAGCATCGTATTGAATCTAAAAAGTCTAAAAATTATTGTAAACAATTTGCTTTTCCAATAGCCTCCTGCTTAAAAACATTCGGGATTTTATAATTATTACAATTAGATAGAATTCTTATTTCAAAGTGTTGTGGAAACTCGAGACTTCTAAAAGTTCAGTTATTTTATTACAAATCATTTCTACCCATGTTACATTTTAAAGTAAATTCTTATATTCTCTGTAACTATATGTAACTTAATATAACTGTCCACTGTTTCTCTCATAAGACTCAGACTATTACTCATATTTAGGACTCAATGTTTCAGAAATTGCATGAAAATCCATCTCAAAGTTATTTGTTTATCCCAAACAGACAGTTTTGATAAAAGACTTTGTTTAAAAATGTGTATAACAGTTTGGGAGCTCTTTCCGGATTGACCCAGTGTTTGTATTTTTCTTAAAAAATAAGCTTAAAGCTGATTCCTTAATCTGTGGGCCAAGTTTTGTTTATATTTTCTAGCCTTCAGGAGCCACTGGTCAATTGCAAGGCAATCTACATCTATTAACTATTGTACTCATCATAACTATATCTGCATAAAAGATTTGTATAATAAATTTATTATATTACAAGCCAAGGTAAAGATTATTGATATAATTCAATATAAGTTTCTTAAATTCCAAATTAAAGTGTAAACTAAGAATACCATATAGGAAAATTGACGAAAACTTGGAATCCCATCTGACTAATGACAATATTCTGTAGACTTGTTTATTCTTCGTTTTACCTTTATGTAAATCAGAATTCTTTATTCAAAGAATTCAGTTTTGAAGCGGTGATGTAATCAATAGTTACTCATGAAAGAATTATACTCCAAGTTAAAAAACATTGATTCACAGATAATTCATCAAAAATATTTTTGACTGTTTCTTGTGGTCTGTAACTACTCTATTTATTATGCTTGTGTTGTGAAGAGAGTACCTATATTTGGCATGGTATATCTTCCCGGATTTGGCAAGAAAACCTTGGTAATAACTTTATAAAACAATTTCCGCATTTTCGTCTGAAATTCCTTCTGCAAAATCGATTCATAAAAACCATGGCTCGCTGAAGAGTTTACCATTTATTTTAATATAATGATGGCGTTGGGGCGGCGACTGCTCGGCCTTGTTGCGTACCGCCAGCTCCATATACGGCACGACCGGCGCACGCGCCGACCGCAACGACAGCGCGGGACGATTGTGTTGCCATTAATTGCTTATTACGAACATAGTTATAAAAATACCAGCAACGAATTGTTGCTTTTAAATTGTGTGAAATGAATTAATTTGAATATTAATCGTAAACCATTAATTAATATTTTACCATATATTGTACAATATATTATTAATTTTGCGACTAAAAATAACACAGACGTTTCTATCAATTTGTCGGGGGCCGTAGGTCATTTGATCTGTAACGGTTAACGTTCAGAAATCCTTGTTTATTATGTAGGTTAAACAAATGTTTCCATTTAACAATCTGTCATGAATGTGGGTGTAAGCGCCAACTGCCACTTCGAGTCTCTTATTTCGATTTCTTAGGAAACGATTCATTGCTTTTATTTTTATGTCCTTAGCACAGAATTGATTCATCATCATATCAATTATTATGTCTTTAAAGTTCATCATTTGTGAAGCGGTTCAATATTTGCCAAAAGGGAATTAGTTACCTATATATTTACGTAGTGTAATGTAGGGAGCATGCTGTATGCACCACAGGAAGCCATCAATATTGCCCGTGTACCATGCATGGCAATAAATACGCAAGGTTACGACCAACTCGCTCAATATGCCGTCCTCGGTAAATTTTGGTGGTAATGCCGATTTTATTTCTATTTCAACCTAATTAGGTTTTGATCTAGCTTAGTAGTGGTTCGTAAAAGATACAAATATGAGATAAACCCTTTAATTTTGATCGTCTTTGAAGTCGCTACAAGGATCTTTGCTCGTAATACTTACCACCAAAAATCTTCTATCAAATGAAGTGGAAAGAAAAATATAATACGATTCATGAGAACATGTTCATTTTACGTTCATGTTCGTGTCAAACCACTTCCTAGTCGCCCACGAGTCGTCCAAGGTTGCGTTGTTCTGAGGGCCCCTATCCACTGCTTACAAAATAATGAACAGCGATTTGTAAAACTATGTCGTACAATTTGAAGCCCAAAAACAACTATCACAGAGCCTTTCCACATTACAAATTAGTCATGTTTAAGCACCCTTGAGGTAACTATCCACATTTTTACCCACGGTTCCCATCGAGTACCATAAACCTATAGAAAGCCTAGTTGAAAATCATTAACGTTCTTTCTCGTTAAGGATTTCAATCTCGTCCGCGAAAGCGACACTCTGTATAAATAACCACGAGCTAAAGTCCCGTCAATTCTCAGTTAAACGTTTCCAAGGAGTTTCTTTGGAAGCCTAAGTTTGCCGCACTTCAAAGAGCAATGCTACGACCCCGTTCCTTTATAAGCTTCTAAAATACTTTAATTATGTCAACTGCAAAAATCTGCAATTTTAAAGCAGTTTTTTTTAAATGTTAGGAATCTTTTGAATACATAACTTGTGGTATATTATGTCATGTATGTGGCCGTGTGTTTATTATTAAGCGTCGAACCATCGACAGAGAAATAACACATCAAGGTCCCCAAATGGTACGCGTGGCAACGCTGCGAGCAAGTTGTGAGTCACTGTGGAACGGCTTCCCTCGCTCGGCGGCTGACCGACATACGAAACAAGAAACTCGACGTAACAGTACTATCAACGTTTTTGTAATCATAGACTTGGAAATTGTAAATAACTATTAAACTTTTAAGTCCTACTTTTGAGATGAACTTATTTTATAGAGTTAAAGACTCTCTGTAAAGTCTGACAAGTAGATTTGTAGTTTTTATGTTAGTACTTAGTTCCAATCAACCGTTTGATAGGAAATGTTTATGTTGTGTGTAATTTTTTGGTGGTCCATGTCTGGTGGCGAATAAATTATTATTCTTTTCTTTTTTTTTTTCTTCTATGTAAGTTAAGGATTCTCAATTGTTTTGGAGTTCTATTTTCCACGGGATGCAGCATAAACTTGGGCTAACTGAAATGACTCCTAAGATTTAAAGTAATATTCGCAATATTATTTCTTACGTGGGTGTCTTAAGTTTCATATTCTAGTCTTGTTACTATAATGCAATGCGCCAACGCCATTCAATCTATTTTAACTGCTAACTTCACGAATCATATTTTATACTAGGTGACTTGTTGTGAATGCGTTTAATGCTGCTTTATTCTGTGAATTATGAGATTTATAACTCTTGTGCTTGTCAACAGGCTTGCTTTTTACAGATATATGAGTTAGGAAATCATTATACTTCAAGTACTTTTAACTAGTTATAGATGTTTCATTTAGTCAAGTGATTCATAATTGTATGCCTCTTTTTGCCAACGATTCATATATCTTAATATAAGGGATAGTAAAGTTGGTCGGTTCAGTACTTACGGCGCATTTTTCATGGTTATCCAGTGATAGCAATGAAAAATACATTGATAGTCCAAAACTTAAACGCCGACGACTCATTCAATATTTTTTTTTCACAAAAAGTTTACAATTTGACTAAGTTGCACACCAAGATGAGAAATTTGAAACATTCCCAGTAGTGTAACAGACATTGCCAGTGCTTTTTTTTTTAATCCAAGCCTTCTTGCCATTTGGTTTATGTGTGCTGAAGGATAATTAAGTAGCTAGTCGGTTTAGTAACCTTATGTGTTGCGTCAATACGTGGGTGATATTGTCCTGTGCTCCAATTAGCTCCCCGCGGAGCAGCAAACGAATTGATTCAGCACGGCAATTGATGAATTGGACCCAACATCGCGAACTTCATCTGATGACGTTGACCTCATTGATAATTAACTTTTTATTCGTTGATTGTCTATCTAATGACTAGATTTTAACGCATAACAGTAATTTTATAGGGTCATTGTTTCAAATAGATCTTTGATTGTTTTGTTTTTTAAGACCACATAAAAAGTTAACGATGTTTATAAACTGTGGTTGTAATTCATGATATTATAAGAGTTTGTTAGCAAGCACTAGTTTCCAGAGAGTGTGATGGATGCTTGCTCAAGTCGCATGTTAGCCGATCAGCTGATAATTACTACGGCGTTTCATTCTGCTAATTGCAGTACTGATTCAGGTTGAGATAAAAA